AGAAAGAAAGAAAGAAAGAAAGAAAGAAAGAAAGAAAGAAAGAAAGAGAGAAAGAAAGAAAGAAAGAAAGAAAAAATGAGCATATAAAATGAAACTAACAAATGGAGCCCTTTGGTCAAAGTGCCTGGGTTCAAATCCAGGTCTTGTTACTTGTTACCTGGGAGATCTCTGGGACTCAGTTTCCTCAGCTCAAAAGTGGAGTAGAACTGGAGTAGATGGGCCCTCAGCTCTTTCTAGCTCTAAATCTATGATCCAATAATCAGGTGAATGTTTGCCTGTAAGTGATGAGGGATCAGGAAGATTGGAAGGTGACTCTGAAGTCAGGAACTTGAGAGAGTAGCAGAACCATGGTTCCCTCCAAAAGAAATAGGGAATTTAGAAAGAGCAAAGGGTTTGGAGGAGAGGGAAGTAATATCTTTTACTTTGCACATGTTCAGTTTGAGATGCCTATGTGACACTTGGTTGGAGATTGTCAGCAGTTAGAGGGTGATGAAGCAAATAGTAATAAATTCCTTTTTAAGATTACTAAAACAATTTTAAAAGTACTTAATAAATGCTTGTTATCTGCCTACCTTCCTGACACTGCTTTCTCCTGGTTCTCCTCCTACCTCTATAACTGCCCCTTCTCTGTCTTCTTTGCAGAATCTTCATCCCACCTGAACCTGCTAATCCTGGGTGTCCCCGAGGTCCTCTATTGGCCCCTGTTTCACATTGTTCTATACCATTTCACTTGCTGACCTCATAAGCTCCCATGGATTCAATTATCATTTCTATGCTAATGATTCTCAGATCTATTTATCCAGTCAAAACCTCTCTCCTCACCTCCAATCTCCAATCTCCAACTACCATTGGACATCCCAAATTGAGTGTTCAATTTTAAATTCAAGATGTCCAAAACTGAATTCATAATCTTTCCTCCTGAACCCTCCACTATTCCTAACTTTGCTATTACAGTTGAGGTACCATCCTCCCGGTGACCCAGGCTCACAACCTACATGTCAACCCTAGACCCTTCACCCTTTCTGACCCACCAATATTCAATCAGTTGCCAAATCCTGTTGACTCTCCCTTTACATCCCTTATATACACCCTGTTCTCTCCTCTGCCACTGCTCCCCTGGTAGAAACCCTCATCACTTCACACCTAGACTACGGCAATAGCCCTCTAGTTAATCTCTCTGCCGCAAGTCTCTCCCTACTCCAGTGAGTCCTAAGTTGTCAAACATTGTCCAGTACTAAGCCGTCCAATTGATCTTCCTAAAGCACAGACTGACCACATCATCCCCTTATTCAATAAACTCCAGCAACTCCCTACTGACTCCAGGACCAATTCTAGAATCCTCTGGCTTTTAAAGTCCTTCATAACCTGGCCTCTTCCCATGTCTCCACTCTTCTTACACATTCCTTCCTCCTGGTGCTGCACAGTCCAGTGACACTGGTCTCCTTGCTGTTCTTCAAACAAAACACTCCCACCCTCAGACTCTGGGCACCCTCTCTGGCTGTCCTCCATGCCTGGAATGCGCTTCCTCCCCATCTCTGCCTCTTGGCCTCCCCAGAGGTCCCAACTCAAATCCTACCTTCCTGTAGAGGAAGCCTTTCCTCATCTCCCTTAATGCTAGTGCCTTCTCTCGGATGATTTGTCCAACTTATCCTGGATATAGCTTGTTCGTATGTGGCAGTTTGCTTATTGTCTCCTCCATTAGACTGTGAGCAACCTGAGAACAGCAACTGTCTTTTGCCTCTTTTTGTATCCCCCGTATTTACTTAGCCCAGTGCCTCAAACATAGTAGGTGCTTAATACATGATTATTGACTCAAAAAGAAAAGAAAAGGAGGAAAGAACAGAACACATAGTAGAGAAAGGAACTGATCAGCACAGGCAGAGGAAGGAGAGAAGCTTGTGGTTTTCTGACTTCAGGGAGCCGAGAGACAACTTCTGCTTAGATACTGGAGCCATTAGACAAGGCCTTCTCCTTCAGCTTGTCACCTCAGCTGACTTGTCACCTGACTGAGGGGAGCTGCCTCTCTCAAACCAGATTCCTTCTGGCAGCCAGTATAGAGGTCAGGTCACCACAATCCTCCATGGATCATAGGTGTGGGAAGGGAAATAGTCAGGAGCACAAATGCTGGCACATTCTCTGTCTCTCTCTATCTCTCTGTGTGTCTCTGTCTCTGTCTCTCTGTCTCTTTCTGTCTCTCTGTCTCTGTCTCTGTCTCTCTCTGTCTCTCTCTCTCCCCTTCCCTCCCTCCCTCCCTCTTTCTCTCCTCCCTGTCTCTCTCTGTGTGTCTCTGTCTCTGTCTCTGTTTCTCTCTGCCTCTCTCTCTCTCTCTCTCTCCTCCCTCACTGCCTCTCAAATTGTGCACATTTCTTTGTCTTCCACCTTCCCCTCCTCAGAATTTCTGTCCAAATACCTGGTGCTGTGCATCTTGGGAATTTTATGACTTCAAAGCAGGGCCATATTTTAAATGGGAGGACAAGCCAATAAGAGCCCATTTTCTGAGAGCCCAAATATTCCCTGCCTAGTTTAGGTCTTGAACCATGTGCAGACCTATTCTGCCTGTTGCCAATCCAACAGATGAAACCAGTTCTAGCCAGAATGACTCAGGGTGACTGCCATGTAATGCTGAAATGACTTCAAATTTGGCACCAGAAGAAGAACTGTCCTCAGGAGAAGCTGGGCCTGAAATGAACATGTGTACCAAAGGTCTAAGTGGACAATTTCTCAGGTTCTTTCCTGGTGGCATTTGAGCGAGGAGGAATTCTGGCTGATTCTGTTTCTTTTCTAAGCCTAGGTGAATGAGGATTCTGATAAGGAAGCAGCCAAGATGAGTTCATGAGAGAGGTGAGAGATTCTAAGGTCCCAACAGCCACCAGAATAAGTAGCTAAAGTCACCTGTAACAGCAGCAACAGCAGGTGAA